TGACATGACCACTGTGGCACACCTGCACCAGGGCAAACCTCCACCCGCCCCACTCCTGCTAAACAGGTGAAGTTTTCTCTGGTCCCCTCCCCAATCAGACCAGGAGTGACATGTTTAGCCGCATGTTCTCCTTAAATTGCTGGCTGTCTGAGTGGTGTCCCAGAAATGATGTGGGCTTCATAGATAATTGGCAAACCTTCTGGAGGAAACCTGGTCTTGTTAGGAGAGACGGCATCCATCCCACTTTGGATGGAGCAGCTCTCATTTCTAGAAATATGGACAAATTTATTAAACCCCCCAAAATATGACTATCCAGAGTTGGGACCAGGAAGCAGAGTTGCAGTCTTACACACCTCTCTGCAGCTTCTCTCCTCCTGCTACCCCCCCAAAAACCCATCTCCATAGAGACTGTGTCAGCTTCCAAAAAGACAAAAAACAAACTAAAAACCAGCAACAAACAACTTAAACATAAACAATTACAAAGAAAGAACAATACAGTATCCACATCTGAACCAAAGAGTAAAACAGTGAAATGTGGATTATTAAATATTAGGTCTCTCTCCTCCAAGTCTCTGTTAGTACATGACTTAATAATTGATCAACAAATTGATTTACTCTGCCTTACAGAAACCTGGTTGCAGCAGGATGATTATGTTAGTTTAAATGAATCAACACCCCCGAGTCATTCTAACTACCAGAAATCTCGAAGCACAGGCCGAGGGGCGGTGTGGCAGCAATTTTTCACACCAGCCTATTAATTAATGAAAGACCAAGACAGACTTTTAATTCATTTGAAAGCCTGATGCTTAGCCTCGTCCACCCCAGCTGTGAAACTCAGAAACCAGTCTTACTTGTTATCATCTATCGTCCACCTGGGCCTTACACAGAGTTTCTGTCTGATTTCTCAGACTTTATATCTCATTTAGTTCTGAGCTCAGATAAAATAATTATTGTGGGTGATTTTAACATCCATGTAGATGCTAAAAATGACAGCCTCAACATGGCATTTAGTCTGTTATTAGACTCAATTGGTTTCTCTCAAAATGTAAAAGAACCCACCCACCACTTTAATCACACTCTAGATCTTGTTTTAACATGGCATAGAAACTGAACATTTAACAGTGTTTCCTGAAAACCCTCTCCTGTCTGATCATTTCCTGATAACATTTACATTTACAATAATTGATTACACAGCAGTGGAGAGTAGACTTTATCAAAGTAGATGTCTTTCTGAAAGTGCTGTAACTAAGTTTAAGAATATAATCCACCCACTGTTATCATCTTCAATGCCCTGTACCAACACAGAGCAGAGCAGCTATCTGAACGCTACCCCAACAGAGGTCGATTATCTTGTTAATAATTTCACCTCCTCACTACGTACGACTCTGGATACTGTAGCTCCTGTGAAAACTAAGGCCTCAAATCAGAAGTACCTGACTCCGTGGTATAATTCTCAAACACGTACCCTAAAGCAGATGACTCGTAATCTGGAGAGGAAATGGCGTGTCACAAATCTAGAGGATCATCATTTAGCCTGGAGAAATAGTTTGCTGCTTTATAAGAAAACCCTCCGCAAAGCCAGAACATCTTACTATTCGTCACTGATTGAAGTAAATAAGAACAACCCCAGGTTTCTCTTCAGCACTATAGCCAGGCTGACAAAAAGTCAGAGCTCTGTTGAGCCAACCATCCCTTTAACGTTAACTAGTAACGACTTCATGAACTTCTTCACAAATAAAATTTTTATCATTAGAGAAAAAATTACCAATAATCATCCCACAGATGTAATATTATCTACAGCTACCATTGATGTTAAGTTAGACTCTTTTTCTCCAATTGATCTTTCTGAGTTAACTTCAATAATTACTTCCTCCAAGCCATCAACCTGTCTTTTAGACCCCATTCCTACAAAACTGCTCAAAGAAGTCCTGCCATTAATTAATTCTTCGATCTTAAATATGATCAACCTATCTCTAATGATCGGCTATGTACCACAGGCCTTCAAGCTGGCTGTAGTTAAACCTTTACTCAAAAAGCCATCTCTAGACCCAGCAGTCTTAGCTAATTATAGGCCAATCTCCAACCTTCCTTTCATATCAAAAATCCTTGAAAGAGTAGTTGTCAAACAGCTAACAGATCATCTGCAGAGGAATGGTTTATTTGAAGAGTTTCAGTCAGGTTTCAGAGCTCAGCACAGCACAGAAACAGCTTTAGTGAAGGTTACAAATGATCTTCTTATGGCCTCTGACAGTGGACTCATCTCTGTGCTTGTCCTGCTAGACCTTAGTGCAGCATTCGATACTGTCGACCATAATATCCTATTAGAGCGATTAGAACATGCAGTAGGTATTACAGGTACTGCGCTGCAGTGGTTTGTATCATATCTATCTAATAGACTCCAGTTTGTGCATGTAAATGGAGAGTCCTCTTCACACACTGAGGTTAATTAGTTCCACAGGGTTCAGTGCTAGGACCAATTCTGTTTACATTATACATTCTTCCCTTAGGCAGTATCATTAGAAGACATAGCATACATTTTCACTGCTATGCTGATGACACCCAGCTCTATCTGTCCATGAAGCCAGATGACACACACCAATTAGTTAAACTGCAGGAATGTCTTAAAGACATAAAGACCTGGATGGCCGCTAACTTTCTGCTTCTTAATTCAGATAAAACTGAGGTTATTGTACTCGGCCCTGAAAATCTTAGAAATATGGTATCTAAGCAGTTTCTTACTCTGGATGGCATTACCTTGGCCTCCAGTAACGCGGTGAGGAACCTTGGAGTCATTTTTGACCAGGACATGTCCTTCAACGCACATATTAAACAAATATGTAAGACTGCTTTCTTCCATTTGCGCAATATCTCTAAAATTAGAAATATCCTGTCTCAGAGTGACGCTGAAAAACTAGTTCATGCATTTATTACTTCCAGGCTGGACTACTGTAATTCATTATTATCAGGATGTCCAAAAAACTCGCTGAAAAGCCTTCAGCTAATCCAAAATGCTGCAGCAAGAGTCCTGACAGGGACTAGAAAGAGAGAGCAGATTTCCCCTGTTTTGGCTTCCCTTCATTGGCTTCCTGTTAAATCCAGAATTGAATTCAAAATCCTGCTCCTCACATACAAGGTCTTAAATAATCAGGCCCCATCTTATCTTAATGACCTTGTAGTACCATATCACCCTATTAGAGCACTTCGCTCTCGCTCTGCAGGCCTACTTGTTGTTCCCAGAGTATTTAAAAGTAGAATGGGAGGGAGAGCCTTCAGTTTTCAGGCCCCTCTTCTGTGGAACCAGCTTCCAGTTTGGATTGGGGAGACAGACTCTATCTCTACTTTTAAGATTAGGCTTAAAACTTTCCTTTTTGCTAAAGCATATAGTTAGGGCTGGATCAGGTGACCCTGAATCCTCCCTTAGTTATGCTGCAATAGATGTAGGCTGCCGGGGATTCCCATGATGCATTGAGTTTTTCCTTTCCAGTCACCTTTCTCACTCACTATGTATTAACAGACCTCTCTGCATTGAATCATATCTGTTATTAACCTCTGTCTCTCTTCCACAGCATGTCTTTATCCTGTCTTCCTTCTCTCACCCCAACCGGTCGCAGCAGATGGCCCCGCCCCTCCCTGAGCCTGGTTCTGCCGGAGGTTTCTTCCTGTTAAAAGGGAGTTTTTCCTTCCCACTGTCGCCAAAGTGCTTGCTCATAGGGGGTCATATGATTGTTGGGTTTTTCTCTGTATCTATGAAGCGCCTTGAGGCGACTTTTGTTGTGATTTGGCGCTATATAAATAAAATTGAATTGAATTGAATTGAATTGAAAATAGATTTATGAGCAACAGGACTTAGTGCCGCTGAGTCTTTGATTTTATTTATTTTCTGGACTCTGGAGGTTTACCCAGTGACAGGTGTGCCGCAGGTGTGCCATTTTACCACTGACATGCTAAAATCTACAGAGCAGATCAGACAGAGACTTAAAATGCTTCCAGATGAGAATATCTTCAAAAGGTGTTTGAATTCAATGAGAAGGCTGATCTAGCGCAGCATAAAAAGTCTAAGACTTGTACATGGAAGAAATGGAGAAGAAGGCTTTGTTATCTACCCTGGAATACCACCAAGCCATTGGTTCAGGTATGTGGATGACACCTGGATGAAAATCAAATCTTAGGACGTACCACAATTCACGGATCACATTAACTTGGTTGACCAACACAGCAAGTTCACCAGGGAGGTTATGAAAAGTGGCAGGTTAGCCTTCTTAGACTGTGAGATTTCCATCAGTAATGGGGGACATTTAGAAGTTGATGTGTACCGTAAACCTACGCATACAGATCAGTATTTAAGGTTTGACTCTCATCATCAACTGGAGAATAAACTGGGTGTCATCAGGACGCTACAACACAGAGCAAACACCATCCCCACAGACACAGCGGCCAGGGAAGCAGAAGAACATCACATCAGGAAAGTCTCGAGTATATGTGGTTATCCCAGCTGGACATTTGTCAAAGCTAGGAAGGCACCAAAAGAAAGCTCCAGCCGATCCAGGAGAGAAGGACCACCGCTGCCTAAGGAAAAACCCTTAATGATCCCATATGTGTCAGGAGTATCGGAGCAGTTAAGAATCCTTTTCTCTAAACACAATGTCGCTTATGACTTTTAAACCCCAAAACACACTGTGCCAAAAATTGATCCAATGAAACAGGTCCCCTAATGTAAACAGAGTAATATAGTGTACACTGTTAGGTGCCAGGAGGATTGCCATGATTTTTATACATCAGGGAAACAAAATAACCTCTAGATAAGCAGATGGCACAATACAGAAGAGCTAACTTGTCAGGCCAGGACTCCATAAAGAAAATATTTAATTTCTACATCATGTGAGCACAGAAATTTGAATTTGCATCAGGTATTTGGAAAATGGTGGATTTATGCCTGGATGTGTATGAATCTTTTGAAGTATTCCCATGAAAATGTGACAAAGACTCAGAGACCAGTTTGATTCAATGCTTAAAGGTTTAATAATGAAGATGATGTTCATTCAGGGAAGTAAAGTGAAAGCTTAAAGCATTCTTTCCATTACACACTCAGTTTGTTCTTATTAAAAGAGACAATCCATCTACAGGTTGCATCATTTTTCAACTCATTCCTTATGTAGCGTTGCGGTGAACTAAAAGAAGTAAAGATGTAAGAAGACAAACATTTTAAGCTGGATTTATGAGATTATTTGCTCTAAAGACCGGTGAACCAAGCCTTCATCCCAGAGATCGTCTGACTTTCCTGGCGCAGACAAATGGGTATCTGGCGTCACAGGGTATGTCATTCATACAGAGGTTTCCTGTAAGCACCAAAAATGAACATTAAGTGAAGCCATGCTCACATGGACGTCTATACTGACACAAATATTTAGTTTGCATAATAGCAGGAGCACCTGTCAATATTCATTTTTGACTCTACTTTCACAGCACTATGTAAATTTACTTTAAATTTAAAGACGTGAAATACAGCAATCTATTTTATTCATTATGGTAAAACACAAAGTTTGTCTCTGTTAAAAATAAAATTTAGAATTCATATTATTTTCCTGTAAGTCACTGCTATTTATCACACCAAATGATAAGCATTTTTTGAGAAAATGTGGATACTGTAACAGTTTTTGTTCCCCTCAAAATGAATTCATACACTTTCTTTTAAATTTTACCTGTCCAATTCATATGCAGGCAGTTCTCTCTGCCCCTGACATTGTTAGGCTCTCCGTGACACCAGTTTGCATATGTGAAACGGGTTCCATCGATCCAAAACCAATAACGCTCCTAGAAAACACAAAAAAAACAGAGAATAGTGTCAATAGGCAGGCATATCCTCTAGTCTCAGAACTAATGTCTAATATTGAGTAGTGTACCTGTTGAGCATCTGAGCCTCCAATCCATGTAGGGACATGATTATGAGCACCATTAAGTATGACCCTCTGAATCGCTCGGTACTCTCCGAGGTTGCGCACAGACGCCAGATTTGCATTCAGGGACTGACAGTGTCTCTATAGGACAAAAGGTCTAGTTTAAACCAAGTTTGATATGAAAAGTATTAAAGCAGAGAGAAATGCTAAATCGAAATCACCGTTCTTACCTGCGCCTGAGCCCAAGTCAGTTGATTGGGAAAGAAGTGATAGTATCGGTTTCTATATCTAGTCCAACCCCAGGGTCTCCAAAAAAATGCAGATCTCTTCTCAACAAGATGCTCTCCTGAGGACAAGCAAAGACTACTTAGATACTCAAACATCAATTATCGTTGCTATTTACAAAAAAGTAATTGTCTTTCAAACCATGTATATGCTCAAACCTTTATACCCCTGCAAACACACACACACACACACACACACACACACACACACATATATATATATATATATATATAAATAAATTATAAATATTTTATTTTCTCACTGGTAAAACATATCATTTGAACACATACATTACATACAAGCATACAAGTGAGGACATAGATGTGCTCTTCAGCATGACAATAATCTGAGAGGAAAATTGTTACCAACCTGGGGGATTTGATTCAGACCCATCCTTACCCACTTCATCTGGAAGAACCCAAAAAAAGTTATAATTTTGATAAATTTTAGTGGTAAATTTCCATTTATAATATTGATATTATAAATGTTGTTTGTATTATTGATTCCACACATATATACGTTATCTATATTATACTACAATACTCACTGGCAGCAGTGGTCAGAGCGATCATTGCACAAAGAAGTGCAGACACAGTCAGCAGCTTCATGGTGATAATTAGTATCTCTGTGAACAACAAAAGACCCAAAGTTATTAGCACTTCATTAAACAAAGCACAGAAGGAATCTGAGTTTTCAGCCAACCTTTTGTAGAATATCTTGTCTGTTCAGTCAGTAGCTTCAGCCTTCCAAGGTCGGAACAAGGTGCTGAACAGCTCTGAGATCACGGCTTATATTCTGTCTCTTTGTAGTTTCAAAACAGGGAACTAACATTGAAAAAAATGACACGTGTATTATGTGATTCATGCTGGCCAGACTTTTACTGCACTTCTTTCTTTCACAACCAAAACCAAAATTATTGCCAAATGCTGACTACTTCTTCCAGCTGCCCACTTAATTTTACTAGTCAACAACTAGTCAAACACTGGTCAACACTCCATAGTATAAATGGAGAACATTTTATATATTTAGGAAAGTATTTTCAGGAAAGAAAAAAAAAACCATAAAACAAAGGAGAAGCTGAGTTTATGGACATTAAATAATCAGCGTTATTATGAAGATCTAAAATAATTTCTGACGTTTTGCTCTCACAGTAATCATGATGAGAATGTTTCTTCAGTAGACCAATTCTTGCCAGTTCTTTCCTTAGCATTTCTGGAAAAGACATGCAATAAGAAAAAGATAAAATGAGACCAGTGCCTCAGCTGATAAGAGATGTCTTGTATCTTTGACAGGCATTCACCAGAAAATTTTTATGGAGACAGATCTGTCACAGTACTGGGTCTGTGTGCTGCGTTTTTGATCAGTTATGTTCTTGGATTTGTTGATTTTCATGGTTTTGAGTCACTATATTGTTTTCTGCTTATGTCAAATTCAGAGATGGGCAGTGATGCGTTAAAAGTAATGTGTTATTGTAATTTGATTACTTTTTTCAAGTAATCAGTAAAGTAACAGGACTACTTTTTCAAGTAACTTGACCAACACTGGTTATGTTCTTACTTTTCAGTCGTTAGCTTTCTGTAACTTTGCCCTCCCCCGTTCCACGTCTCACGTCTAGTTACTCTTCTCTCTGTGCTCCATGTCTGCTTGGTCTTCAACCCGTTTTCACTCCCTACTCATAATATAGCGACGATTTGTAACGTCCCTAAAATTCTCATGCTAACGCAAAAGGTACCCTTCCATGTTTTTCTCAGTTCACTGCAATGTGAACCCGCTCGCAGCGATAAGAGACGCTTCGAGCAGAGGCTCCAGCCATCCATTTACTCCAATAATAACCCCGTCATGGCAAAACATGACGCCGTGAAGTACAATCTAACTGGAGAACCGAGGACCCTCTCCCCCGACGTGTTTTTCTCCCTAATGTAAGGCTTTCTTTGTTTTGTTTTGTTTTTTTAGCCATCAGAATTGTTGTCTGAAGGCCAAGAAAGATGCCAAGTGGATTTACTTTACCAAGTGGATCATCATGGCCTTGCCATATTGGTCCATTTGATTGACCTTTATTATAATTATGTATTTATTTTATTTTTGTTTTTGAAAGACTGGACAGACATGACTGTCAGGACAGGGAGAAAGAATGAGAGGGAGAGAAAGAAAAATATTCCCATATATCATTGTTGTTTATTGTATTGCTCTCATGTTCTTCTGCTTGTTTTCTTTTCTTTCTCAACAGGTGATCCAGGTGATTGATATATGTATATTTTTTTGTCTGCTTATTTAGTTGTTTTTTGGTTTTTTTGCCCTTTATCCCCATCCCTCTTCTCCACTGTTTTTTCCCCCTCTTCTTTTCTCCTTTTTCTTTTCCTCATTCAAGTCTGTCCCGTATCTAGCAAGTGAAAATAAAAAAATAAATAAAATAAACAATAAAAGGTGAATCAAATAGACCATTACGGCAAGTCTGGGATGGTCAATTTGGTAAAGTAAATCCATTGGGTATCTTTCTTCGCCTTTACGATAATTCTGATGGCAAAAGAACCAAATGGGACAGGCAGAAAAAAAAAAGAAAAAGAAAAAAGGAATGAGACAGAAGTGCTATCCCAGCCGTCCAAGATCTGAAATGCATTTCAAGAAGTCCCCACAGTGAGCATTAGGGAACTCAGTACTATAAGAAAGGTCTTTTTCATATTTCTATAACAGTTAGTGTTCAATTAACTGTCATTTTTAAGTGCAAAATCCAAAATACTTCTTTTTTGTTGTTTGTTTGAGGTTCGCAAATGTAAATAGAATTTGGTGCTTTTCTTTGGCATACATGAAAGTGGTTTGGGGGTTCTGATCTGAAGGCCCATGAAACGAAAGGTATCAAAGACTTCTAAAAATACACAATAAACCAGCAGTTTCACCCCCTCAGAAAGAGAGGGTGAAACTGGAGTAATGTGTTCTCGGTGCTTTAATAATGATCATCAGACATTCACAAGCATTTGTTCCCACAGTCGAATTGATTAGTTAGGGAGAAATTCAACAGTCTTGTGAAACAATGTCTAAACTGTGGTTTCAAAGAATGTGTCAAAAGCTGCCGCTTCTTTTGAAATTAAACCAAGGATGTTGGCTAACTGATGATCACCATGATAATGACTTTATCTGCCAGTCACAGACTTAGACCTGTCCTTTTAGTTATTGCTAAACTTTTTATGGTAAGGAAAACATTAGAGAAAACAAAACTGACTCACCTAGCATTAGACATCGTTTTCTGATTGAAAAATCTTCCTGCAATTTTGTCCTCAAGATTACTTAAATGTCTAGAAGCCTATTGTTGAATTTATGAACAGAGACCCAGCTGATTTTTTTACCTGATTTTTCTTTAAATTAAATTTACGTATTTAGTAGTTTAATCCTTATTTTATTTTTTTTATGTCTTTATTGTCCTTGTTGCAGGTACAACGGAATTAAAAGTGGTGTCCGATCAGTGCATCGACCATAGAAATATGAAAATATAAATAAAAACAATAAAATTTAATAAAATTAAAAAATAAAATACTTAAAGTGCTAATAAGAATAGTATGAGCAAACATTTACATACATTCCCACACACATGCTTCAGTCAGTGCATAGATCATTTCAAGAGTGACCTGATGGACATTTTTTTTTTTTAGTAGCAGTATTCAGAAATGTTATAGCAGTTGGGTAAAAACTGTGTTTGAGTCTACTTGCACTAATTGCTCTTTACGGTCTGCCCAAGGGCAGCTGTCCAAACAGGGAGTGGCCAGGGTGTGAGGTATCTTTTATAATATTTTGAGCTGGGGACCTTTTGTGGCTTTTGCATTTTTCAATTCCAAGCCATTTGCATTGTGTTTAATTGAATATAGCCAAATTCTCCAAAAAAAAGTTTGGTATAATTTTATTTCAAAATTCAAGTCTGACTTCCTTAAATTAGCTTCAGTGGCTAAGCTAACAATACACATCCTCTTAGAGCCCTAGGGACCATTTTTGACCCATTGACTTCCATTATAAACGCTATTTTTCACTGCAGAATTATTACCGTTAATGTCTTGGTGATTACTTATGTTTCCCTTTCGTTTTGGTCTCTGGGCCTTAGAGTTGTAATTTTTTTAATTGTCCACCGGGTGGCGCCCTTGCTCCACATTTGATCCCTGCTGGAAAACAGCGGGCTGCTTGGACAGACCTGCGGGAAATGAAGCCTCATTTCCGGCGTGCAGCAGCGGCTTCGCCCGCTGATCGGGCGGGACCATTTTCGGTCCCTAGGGCCGTGAGAGGGTGCATTTTTTTTTTTAGTCAACAGGAAATGACGTATTTGTTGTCACGTGGTATCGGACGTGTGCGCTGGAAAAAGGGGTCCCCGGTGATCGTGCCCCGGTAATCGTCGCGACTTACCCCGGCAACATGCACTTATTTCGGCCTAGAGGAGGAGCATTTGCCGCCTGGAGACCATTTTCTGGTCCTGAAAAAAAAAAAAGGCGATCGAAATGAATGTTGGTGCCAATCTTTAGTCCATCTAAAGGCCTAATTATAATAACAATTGAATATTACCTCAAATGGTTTTTTTGGAAAATATTCAAGTTTTATGTCTTTTGGGGCAAAAAAAGCAGTGCGCTCATGTGACGAAATCAGGATATAAAGGGTTAAAATCCGCGAAATGTAATTAAAACTTGACATGAATATTTCAAGGAGAAGTAGGTCTAAAAGATTGGCTACTTTAAAGTGGAATAAAATATTAATATATAAATTTTTTTATAGCACTTTTTTGGGCGTGGTCGATTAGGACCGATAGTGTGTGCATTTTATGAAATGCGCTCCTGCAAAAAAAATAAAAGTGGATCGAAATGACTGTTGGTGCCAATCTTTGGTCCATCTAAAGGCCTAATTATAATAACAAACGAATATTACTTCAAATGGTTTTTTTTGGAAAATATTTAGTTTTTTTGTTTTTTGGGGCTAAAAAAACAGGGCGCTCTTGTAATAAACCTGGGATTTAAAGGGTTAAAACAACGAAAATGTAATTAAAACTTTATATGAATATTTCAGGGAGAAGTAGTTTTAAAAGACTGACCAATTTAAAGTGGAAAAACATATGAATATATAATCTTTTTATTGCACTTTTTGGGGGGTGGACGTTTTGGTCCACTAGGGCCTATAAAGGGTGCATTTTTTAAGGGCTTACCAGGTGTTAAGACAGCAGGTATAGTCTAGCTCTTCCAGCATGGGGAGAGGGCAGCCAGTGATCCTTTGGGCGGTGTTAATGACCCCTTGGAGTGCTTTCCTCTGAGCCACCGTCCTACAAGTGTACTAAATGCATATGCAATAGGTTAGTACACTCTCAAAGGAAGCTCTGTAGAAGGACACCAGCAGTCTCTGTGTGACAGTCTCTGTTGGGCCTTTTTCAGCAGCTCGGAGGTGTTCACACTCCAGGAAAGGTTCTCCTCTATGTTGACTCCCAGGAAGCGAAAGTTTGACACCCACTCCACACAGTCCCCATTAATGATTAGTGGTGGGATCCCTGTCTTTTTCTTCTGTTGTCTGTTATGAGTTCTTTGGTCTTTTAAGTGTTGAGGAGGAGGTTATTGGCCTTAGCATGATGACAGCTGCTTTGCTTTGTCTCAGTAAGCAGACTGGTCACCCCTGGAGATGAGCCCCACCGTGGTGGTATTCTCTGCAAACTTCACAAAGGTGTTGCTCTGGTGGGCAGGAGTGCAGCCATGTGTGTAGAGAGTGGAGAGCAGTGGACTGAGCACACAGCCATGGGGTGAGCCAGTGCTGAGACTCAGGGCTGGGGATGTGC